ACAAATCTTTATTTTGGGGGGGCAGTGTTCTTCCATACAGTACTCAGGGGGGCTCCCGGTGCCATTCCCAAACAAGTGGGCCAGAGGCTTAAATAATACTCAGGCTCAGCGGCACTCAGCTCGGGCCCGACTGCTCCATGCTTGGGTCCTGTCAAGGCAGTTTTCTATTATCTGTCTCATCCCTTAAAATCAATTTTTCACATTTAAGATTTCCTTTGTTTAAATTTCAGGAAGCAAATTTCCTTCCACCACTAGATGAAAAGAAAGCTATTATCATCAACTGACTAAAAATGATAAAAGTTAACAATAGATATAATAGAGGATCATTAACTTTTCAAAAATTTAGTCCAAAAGATGTAAAAAAAAAAAAAGTAAGGCTACTTTCTCACTCAATATTAAAATCTGCTGTTTGGCGAAACCACTTCAAATCATCTCTAGCAGTGTTGGTGGTGTGTGCCTTATTCTTGGGGAAAAACTGAACTAAACGGGTAATGAAAAAGAAAAAACTGTGGTGTAAGTCAAATTACAACATAGACTATAAAACTCAAATTACTAGCCCTGCAGGCAGGATTCATTAAGCATTAAGAAAGTCGCCCTAGATTCTTGGCTAGCAAGTTGCCTATGAGGTCCGTCCTCTTCCCACACACCTGGAGATCTTTTCCTCAAACAGCCAAGAATCAGGAGCAGAGAAAAGGAAGTGTAGGGACTTGAGCACACGTGCATTGCCACAGAAAACTCAATGCAGACCTGAATTTGATGCCTGCAAACTTTTTCGACAGGATTTCAACAGTACCTGCAAATGCCAATGCCTGCACACCAGCCGCATGTTAATCTATGTTCATTCACACACATTTTAACATAAGATAATCCTAGCAACACGAGTCATTCAAATTTGATAAGCACTGCCCAACAGATTTGTGGGATCTGATCACCAACTCGCTGTCTTCCTCCTTCCATGGTCAAGCGATGCTGTCTAGGAAGTCGGGAAATGAGAAAGCCCATCACGATGCTACAGTGCTGAGCACAATTTCAAAGGAACAGGTCATGACCCTGGAGGGGGCAACGGGAGATTCAGAAGCTCCTGGAGGCTTCCAAATCTGAGTTCCATCTGCCCCATGCCTGCAGCCATCCCAGAGAGGAACTCGGGCAACCTCTCAGGCCACAGACCTTGGAACTTGACTGAGAAAATCCACATTAATGTGAACTTGAACCTGAAAGGGAAAAGAGAGGGAGGGAAACGGGGAGGAGGAAGAGGGTGAAGGAAAATGAGAGTGGAGAAGAGGGAGAGGAAATGCAGAGATTTGCCTGACCTGCAGGTAACTGGAGCCGCAGGCTCCTGGTGGCTATTGTAAATAATGACCTTATCTGACTGTCATCTGTGCAGTTTTTCATGCTCAAAGCCCATTCCCTGCTCTCATATCATTTGCTCTGTCTCTGTCTCTCTCTCTCTCTCTCTCTCTTTCTCTCACTCTCTCTCTCTCTCCTTTGCTCTATAGAGCCCAGCCCCCTAGCACTGCTAAAAGGGCCTGATAAGAATGCACAGGACATAGGATCCTTCACACACATCCGACATCTACAGAAAGGCTGAAAGAGGAAACAACAAAGAGGAAAGTAACCACATGGGAGAGAGCTCTGAGTTCTCCCCAGCCCTGGGTGACGGCTGCTGGAGTGGCAGAGCAGGAAGTCCTCTCTCCAGCAATGGGCGTCCGGACCAAAACGCGGACAGTGACAAAGCGGACAGCGGGAGATGCCAACTTCCCGCAGAGTCTCCATGCCGCCGGAGCGGGCACTTCCCAGTTTGTAGCTCTCAGCATCCTGCACGACCAGGGCACCAACCCCGCTCTTCTCTCTCCAGCTTTTCCTGACTCCCACTATTTTCCTTTTGAATGACGATTTCAAAGTGACTATTTTTTTTTCTCCAGGCTGAGTGACTCAATGACCATTCTGCAGAGTCACGGTGTCTCTTTGCAGAGTGAACAGTCACTCTTTATAACCGTGGTAACAGCTTAGATAAGAGACAGTAGCTTCAATTACAGCATATAGGCAATAACAACAACTGCCCTAGAGGCGGTTGTGTCTCTTCAGCAAAAGAGAAGCTGCCCATCAGCAAGTTCGGAACCGAGGGTCTGGGCCATGTTCGGTCTGCACTGCTCGGCTCCCCTGTCCAGAAGCGGTCAATTCTCAAGGCCAATATTTGGCTTAAAATATACACTGTGTATTGGAGCAATGGTACAGGAGATAAAGCGATTGCCTGGCATGCAGCCAACCCTGATTCCATCCCTACCACCACATATGGTCAGTCCCCCAAGTACTATCGCAAGTGACCCCTAAGCACTGCCTGGTATGGCCCTAAAAGCCTCCCCCATCAAAAAATTATGCTGGGTCGGACTGGGGAGATAGCTTGCTGGAGTGCATGCTAGCACGCAGGAGACTAGAGCCGGAGGCCCAGAACTGCATGTTCTCCCGAGCACTACCAAGAACACCCCCTGAGCACTGAGCCAAGAGTAGCATGCTTGGTATGGCCCCACCCCCAAATAAAACAAAAACAAGTATATTGGATTAACCATTCCACACCTGGGATATTTTCACTGGCCAACAGCTGCCACAGCAGAGGAAGGAGACAAAAAAGGGCACAGATATAACCATAACCACCACCACCAACTGACCCCCCCCAAAAAAATTGAGGGGGACGGGGGAAAAAATTGAATCTAGATAGGCCAGGTTTAAGAAAGTCAGTAAGACATAGAAAGATTGCATTCATCTGGGGAACATAAAGTAACAAAATCGGAAACTAACACCCAAGAATGACCGAGATTAGTACCAGGAATTTTACTCCATGACTTGGAGGCCAGCCACACATGCTAGGGGAAAAGGGAGCTCAGATAGAGAAGGGAGCACCACATAAAGGGTATTGGGAGGATCCTCCCAGGATGGGAGAAGCATGCTGAAAGTAGACTATAGGCCGAACATGATTGCCACTCAATGTCTCTTTTGCAAACCATAGCACCCAAAAGGAGAGAGAGAACAAAAGGGAATACCCTGCCACAGAGGCAGGTGGGCTGGGGGGGATGGGGGGTGGGAGGGATACTGGGATCCGTGGTGGTAGGAAATGGGCACTGGTGGGGGGATGGGTACTCGATCATTGTATAATTGAAACCCAAGCACAAAAATGTGTAAGTCTGCAACTGTACCTCATGATGTCTCACTATTAAAAAAATTTTTTTAATAAAAAAATAAATAAATAAAATCACTACCATCTTAAAAAAAAAAAAAAGAAAGTCAGTCAGAGAGAGAGAAAAGCAGAGTACCCACAAACAGAAAATGGCAAGAAGCCAGTCAGATGTGTGGAGCCCCCAAAATGGTATCATGCACTTGGAGGTCTGCTCCACCCCCAACCCTTAGTATCAAAACCCTTTCACCTAAGAAAGCACCTAACCCTCCTGCAAGCAAACAAACCAAGACAACCCCCTAACCCAAATACCTGGTATTCACTTTCCTCAGTAGTCTCAAACTTGAACATAATTCTCACAAAAAGCGAGAGCAGAGCCTATGTCACGGACACGTGGCTGGGCTGAAAGATTGTTTCTTGTGAGATATGTCAGATGACAGCCACTTAGACTCCCAGCAGGAAGTCAGGGCATTTTTCACTGTGCTTTCAATGAAGTGCTGATGGTCACTGCCTGCCTTCTAGCAGTGATCCATGGCAGAACGCTCCGATCTGCACTTTCAGGCTTCTGTGGAAGCCTTTGGTCAGAAAGATGGAGACTTGAGATTCACTGAAAAGAAACTGAAGGCACTTATGCAGCAAAGTAGCACTGTAGCATTGTTGTCCCATTGTTCATTGATTTGCTCGAGCGGGCACCAGTAACGTCTCCATTGTGAGACCTGTTACTATTTTTGGCATATCGAACACGCCACGGGGAGCTTGTGTACCATAGGCTCTGCTGGGCAGGCGGAATACTCTCGGTAGCTTGCCAGGCCCTCTGAGAGGGACGGAGGAATCAATCCCAGGTCGGCCACGTGCAAGGCAAGCGCCCTGCCCGCTGTTCTATCACAGCACACTGCAGCAAAGTTTAAAAAAAAAAACAAAAAACAGATCTGTAATCTGGGGGACAGAAAAGGACGATCATCTAAATCATTTAGAGTGTAAAGTGTGCTGGAGCCTGAGGAAATTATGCCAGTGTCCTTGCAAAACCTGAATTCCATCACTGCAGACAAGACCCAGGGCCGCTGGGAGCGACCACTTTAAATGAAAGTAATTAATCAACTATGCTGAGCAAGCAGGAGTGCAGGTCCACTAGGGAGCCCTGGAAGAGCCATAAAACGCAAGGTTAAACCAAGGTAGCCACTGAAAAGGGAGAGGTTAAACAGGATGTACTCCGACCCAGGGTTCAATAAAAAGACAGTAGCTTTATACGGAAGTCTGGAAATCAAAACAAAACTCACAAATACCCCTCATAAACTCAAGTGAGCAGAACCACCAGTGGCCTAATTAGAACTAAATTATCTGAAAGAAGCTATCTCACCCCGCAAGCAGGTCTAATCGCTGCAGAGACAGATTCTCATAGGAGCACAGATTCACTCTGGGTAAGTGAGTCACAGCTAGGAGAAACCGTTCCCCACGAGAGGCGTCTGCAGTGGCTCCCAATACCACCAAGTGACCATGCCATCAGCATTGAAAGTCACATTTAAGAAACTGAGTGGCAGAGCTCCACGATGTTCAGCCAACTCTGACCAAACCAATTTTGAACCAGACTGACTTGACTTTGATAAAAATTACTGCCTAAAAACTGAAAAATAACAACTTTTGAATTAAAAAGTCATTGACTTTGGGGGCAAAAACCTTTTTGTTAATTGCTAGTCAATAATGGTATGAATTTCATCCAAAAATATTCTGAGCGTTCTCACAACCAACAGGAAAAGAACCTCCAGTAACACTTATCCAGTTCTAATTAGCATAAAGTGCCCCCAACACCAGAAGAGCCAAGGCTTTCTCTTACCATTTCGGGACACGTCGAGTTCTACCAGCTGCATGAAGTTCGCTATTTCCGGAGGGAGCCGCTGTATCTCATTATCACTAAGTCCAAGCTTTCGTAATTTGACGAGCTGGAAAAATTGCTGAAAGAAAAACAAATAGTTTCATGTAAGTCTCACATATATCTGCAACTTCAACTCTTTGCCCAAAAAGAAACCGAAGACAGTATGTCTTTTCAAAATTAGTGAGGCCCCCTGGAACAGAGAGAAAGCACGGCGGTTTAAGTGCTCCCTTTGTATGTGCAGGAAGGACCCAGGTTTGATTCTGGGCTTACACAGGTTCCCCTTAATCGAGTCTGGAGTAGACCCCTAAGCAACTCTGGGTGTGGCCCACCATTACAAGCTCCATCCTAGCCCATCAAGCACTGTAGCACTGTAGAAATGTCCTCCCGCTGTTCATCAATCTGCTCAAGCGGGCACCAGTAACGTCTCCATTGTGAGACTTGTTACTGTTTTTGGCATATTGAATACACCATGGGGAGCTTGCCAGGCTTTGCCGTGTAGGCAGGATACTCTCTGTAGCTTGCTGGGCTCTCGGAGAGGGACAGAGGATTCTAACCCGGGTCAGCCGCGTGCATGGCAAACGCCCTACCTGCTGTGCTATCACTCCAGCCCACCAAAAAAAAAAGAAAACTAATGAGGATATCACCAATGTCAATTTCTTATTTCTACATTTACTCATATGAAGAGGTTACACTGAGAAAAGCTAAGACAAGGAGTATCTATACTCATGCAACTATTTTTCCATATCTACCTAAATTCTCTCAAAATAAAGTTTTTTAAAAGTTTTTTTAAAAAATTAATTACCAGGAGACTTGTAATTGTTCCTTAAACCATTCATTATATTTTTCTACTTAGGGAAGTGGATGTTATATCCACAAGGTTAAACAAACATATAAAAACATTCAGGTGAAATATGTTGGGATTTTGTAGTTTTTTTTACTGAATCACTGTGCGGTAGAACCTTACAAAACTGTTCATGATTAGGTTTCAGTCATACAGTGCTCCAACACCCAACCCCCACCACTGCACACTTCCCAGCACCAATGTCCTGAGCCTCCCCATAATCAACCCCACCAAATCCCCTCCAGTAGAAGCAGACACAGCTCTCTCCCTCTCTCTCCCTCTCCCTCTCCCTTCTCTCTCTCTCTCTCTCTCTCTCTCTCTCTCTCTCTCTCTCCCTCTCTCTCTCTCTCTCTCTCTCCCCCTCTTTATTCCTCTCTCTTCCTCCCTCCCTCTCCCTCTCCCTCTTCCTTTGGCACTGTGGTTTGCAATACAGATTTCTGAAAGGTTATCATGTATATCTCTTTACCTACTTTCAACACTCAGTTCTTGTCCAGCGTGATTATTTCCAACTACTATCATCATGCTGGTCCCTTCTTTATCTTAACTACACAAGTTAAATGTTTTTTTTAAGACATTTTTTAATTGGTCAGCAATGACTTCCGACAATTTCTCTGTATCGTTCCAATTTTAGTACATGTGCTGCTGAAGCGAGCACTAGACAATTTCTAAGTATACCACAAACGTGTGGAGGAGACAAATGATATTTGGCCAATCAAAAAAAAAATAAGTGTTGGGTACTTCCACTATTCCTGAGTGCCTTTTCCTCACATTTTTTAAAGGCTTTACTAAAATGACAAACAAAAAATGGAAAGATGGATATCAATTTGGGGGGGCGGGGAGAGAGAGAGAGAGAGACAGACAGACAGACAGACAGACAGACTAATAGAAAATTAGGTCAAGGCACCTGTGGAGGAAAATGACCGATCAAAAATGTACACAAAGCACAGTTAGGTCCAGTAAGTCTTCTCTAGCCTGCTGCTGGCCAGGCTGGAGACGGGAAAGGACGGCACTGGGGAGAGCTGACTCCAAAGACAAGAGAGGGCGGGGAGAGCAAGATGCCCCCGGAAATACCCTCCTCTGGCTGCAGCAGGCACCAGGGCAGGCCCACAGCAGAATGGGATAGGGGTTTGGCTCTGTGTGCCACCGGGCACACAGAGCTTGTGGTCTTTCCTTGCCCCATTCCCAGCCCCTTCACTCCTTCCTTTCCATCCTCAGTCTGGCTCTTTCATTTAAACAAGGTCAAGTTTCTCCAGATAACCCTAGAGGAAAATTCCCAACAAGCAAGAAGGTGGCGGGGGGGGGGGGAGCGTGAGCACACTCACGGAAAAGGGTAAAATATATATAAACACATATACATATATGTGCATGTGTGCGTGTGTAGAATGTATAAGAGGGAACAAACTCATCAACCCAAAAGCATACTAAAATACCCTTGGAGAAATTAGAGAAAATGAAGCAACATAATGGCATTTTTTTAAGTTCCAAAAACGAAAACACAGGAACGGGGATAACAAACTGAAGACACTGAGGTTTCAATAAAGTAATCTAAAACAGGATGAAGGATAACGTGAATAAAATCCCTAAGAATGTACAATGAGAAGATAATGAGATGGAGAGGTGGCAGGCAAGAAGACCATAGCCATCAGTACTACATCCAGTTAAATGCCTTTCGAAACAAAAAATACTAAGGAGTATGCACTATTGGCTTGAAATGGTCAATAAAAGGAATGAAAAAGACATATACTGAAGATTATGGAATTTCACAACTCCAGAAATAAGGAGACTTTCAACGTTTGGTGGGAAAGCTATTTAGAGCAAAGCCTGGGAGTCAGAATGGCACTGGACTCATCACCCTGAAAAATAAGGCAGCAGAGAGACAGGGTGAGAGAGCTCAATGGGCTGACCTGGGTGGGTCTCAGCACTGCACTACGTATGGTCCCAGGAACAGCAGCCTCTGCATACCAACAGTATGCAGATGGCTCCAAATCCATCCACCCACTGCCACCCAAAACAGGCAGCACTACTGTCACAATTCCAAGAAACAGTATTCCCAGACTAAAACTGCATACCCAGACAAACAATCCATGGGGTATGATGGCAAGAAGACATTCATTTTCTGATGTGCAGCATCTCAGAATATGTCTCCTAACCCTTTTCTCAGAAAACCATCAAAACGGGCGAGAATCTAAAAGGCAGACATAAGATCCCAAAATGAGAGAACAAAATGGAGAAGAAAGAAAACTCCCAAGATAAAGGAGGGAGGGAGGAAGAGAGAGAGAGAGAGAGAGAGAGAGAGAGAGAGAGAATTCCAAGACTCCAGCTGAACCAAGGGTCCTAAGAGTAACAGCCCACACCACAGAAAAGAGAAAGGTTCCCAAAGGGAAGGCTTGGAAAATCAGTATGTAAATAAAAATATACCGAAGAGATCACTTGATGTGTTTGGAAGCACTGAGAAGACAGACTTAATAATAGCTTACAAATAGTAGAGAAAACAGAGAAAGCAACAACAACAAAAAATGGGGAGGTGCAGGGTAACATTGCCACTCCCGCCACAGGGAGGGGCATAAAAGTATAAAAAATATATAATCATATGTCTAAGATTTGGGCGGAGTCATTTATATGTTGATAAAAATCTATCTTTATATTATGTTAATATTGAGCACATGGGGGAAAACTTGGTGCTCAAGACTCATCTTTCATAAAATGAAGACAAATCACTTATAAAGGGGTTTTAAGTGTAGAAAAAAAGAAAGAACAGCGGGTAGGGCGTTCGCCTTACAAGCGGCCAACATGGCCGACCCGAGTTCGATTCCTCCGCCCCTCTCGGAGAGCCCGGCAAGCTACCGAGAGTATTCGATATGCCAGACACAGTAACAACAAAGTCTCCAATGGAGACGTTACTGGGCCCGCTCGAGCAAATCGACGATCAACGGGAGGGCCTTTACCTTTAAGTGTGAAAAGTCAAGGTACACCGGAGGGGAAAGGGTGTTGCCCCATTCGCCCTCTCCTCTCTGGAAAGAAAGATGGCGGCCACATGGGAGCCTTGTGGACAGCAGGTATGAGCCGGGAGTGTGGGGGCGACTAAAACCTCATGGGAAGGGGGGCATTTCGCTCCGCCCTTCACGCCCTACCGAGGCCACCAGTTGCCCCCCGCGAGCGGCTCTCCAGCACGGCCACAGCCCCAGAAGCACAAGGGCTTAATGCAGAACCCAGCAGCTTGGAGCAGAAAAGTGAAAGGACTATGCGTTAATCCAGGCAATCATTTCTGCCCAGAGGGGAAAGGGTGTTGCTCCCCTCCGCCCTCCTCCCTCTGGAAAGAAAGATGGCGGCCACATGGGAGCCTTGTGGACAGCAGTTATGAGCCGGGGGAGTGGGGGCGACTAAAACCTCATGGGAAGGGGGGCGTTCCGGTCCGTCCTTCACGCCCTACCAAGGTCACCAGTCGCCCCCCGCGAGCGGCTCTCCAGCACAGCCATGGCCCCAGAAGCACAAGGACTTAATGCAGAACCCAGCAGCTTGGAGCAGAAAAGTGAACGGACTATGCGTTGATCCAGCCCATCAAGTCTGCCGGAGGGGAAAGGGTGTTGCCCCATTCGCCCTCTCCTCTCTGGAAAGAAAGATGGCGGCCACATGGGAGCCTTGTGGACAGCAGGTATGAGCCGGGAGTGTGGGGGCGACTAAAACCTCATGGGAAGGGGGGCGTTTCGCTCCGCCCTTCACGCCCTACCGAGGCCACCAGTTGCCCCCCGCGAGCGGCTCTCCAGCACGGCCACGACTCCAGAACACAGAAACCAATTTCTTAACTATCTGACTTTCAGTAGAAATACTTCCAGGGTTAATAAGTAAAATAGCAGAAATCCAAAACCAACATTTAATTCTTGAACCCAGCTGTAGAAAGCAAATCACTTCACAATGCTTTTTCAGCATGTCTGATTGGGGGGGGGGGGGGTAAACTCTAAATAATAGTGGTGAATCTTTTATTGAAACAATCTAATCAAAGCAGATAGAGTGTTAACTAGAATTCATCTGCCTCACAGGGACGGGGAGGGGTGGGGGGTGGGGTTTTATTGGGGTTCTTCATGGGAAAAAATAAGTATTGGTAAAGGGAAATGTGTTTGATATTTGCATGACTGAGACATAAACCTGAAAGCTTTGTAACCTTTCCCACAGTGATTCAATAAATAAAAAAAAAAAAAAAGTCAAGGTACAAGAGCAAGGCATCTAGCAATGTGGAGACA